GGGCGAGCATGTTTGGTGTGACAGGGATTCGAACCCGCGACCCTCAGATTGCGAGTCGAGTGCCTTATCCCCCTGGCCATGCCAGGCCCAAGAAAGTGTTATTTATAGCTACGTTCAAAGTTTTGTGAAATAAATTAGCAACCTTAGGGTAAAGTGTGAAAGTTGTACATCTTATCTGAACTTTTATAAATTATTATTACGTTTTAACTAAATACTGCTGTATACAATTTTAACATTAATTCTGGAATATGCCTTGATAGCGATGAAGTTTTTTCGTCCAAATTATGAATACCTTTTCATAAAATGATAATAATAAATAGAGAAACGCCTCCAGTATCAATTAATTTCATATATTCTTGTTATCCATTATAGTGAACGATATTAACCAATCAATTTTCTTATTAAGTATAAAACAGACAGTGAAATATTTTACTAGAAAAGTACATTATAATTCGCATCTCTTTAGGGTGCCAGTTGTGTGCTTAGTATTATGTGGGGAGTAAGATCAACATATTTTGAGCTTCCAATATAACATTTGGTAAATTAAATCCATATATCTTAGGCCACGAACATAAAGTTTGTCGTCAATTTCTATTTCCGAAAGTAATGAATATTTCATTCCTTTACACTAGAATTATAATTAGACATTTCTTATGGAGTTAGCCACATACTCATAAAGAATACTTCTCTGTGGTTTGTAGATAAAATTTACTATTTAAATCTACAATGACTTGTTTATTTCAAGTAACCTTCGCGTTTAAGTGTTGTATTTATATACATTTTTGATTTTGTACATTAGAATAGTGATGTGGTGGTTTTTTATTTATATTGCTCCATATATTGGGTTATCAATGAAGCACTTTTTGTCTTTGGGAGTTTTAGCATGACGAAATAATTATTTTCAATTTTTTGTTATGATAAATTAGTCTCTGATATGTCCAAGGCAGTGTCTCCGTCTTGGGGATTACACATGATCTAGAAATCTATTGGACAAGGTGTTATTGATATTTTGCGAAACAAATAGAGGCTGTGTTGTAGATAGATCACCATCTTGGTTACATTGTGGACTGTATAACAGATTATAAACTGACCAGATTGAATCACTTTTAATATCTCTCATGCAACAAAAATGAGCATAACATAAAGTAACGTAAAGAAACACTGTTTCATATTTCCTTTTTAATGCCAAGAAAAATATATAATGAAAACCTCTAAATCTGTCAAACCAAAGATCTTACATCTTTAAGTTTAAGAGTTTGAAAAATGACAAACCCACCTTAGTTTATTTTTGTATAATTTGGAGAGAAAATGACATACATTTCGAGCAATGTGCACATAGCTGCCGTTAGCTGATACATACGGAGATTGAGTACATATTTTAATACGTTTTTTGAGCTTCGTCATGTCGTTACAGCCCATTTCTCCACGTCCGATCATGCCCTATTTGAAAACCATGTATCTTGACAATAGCTTTGCAACGTAGATTTCAATGGAAATATTTTCATCGTGAGGATGCCGTGTCAAAAGTACACCAACCCTACCTGACGACTTCCATAACCCTTCTAGTGTACGTGGGCGATGGTTTCCCAGATCACACAGAAATCCGTAGGTACTACGTCCGTCAATTTGATCGACATGAATACTCATTTCCTTCTACATCTGCTTGGGGTATGTAAAGAATGAACGTAGATGTCGTAGAAGCAACTTCGGTACACGTGATTTGTGTCGTTTTTTAAGGCTAAGATCCTTATCTATTATGTTGTGTACCATTTCCTGGAGCACGTGGACGGCTTTTACCATTGACCTTTGTTTTTGTGGAGTCTCACCTGTTACAAGGTTTTGTACTTTGCTTATGATACGACTGGGTTGTGGCTTGTTTAAGACCATTTTTTTGATGTTTCTGGCACCTCAATTTGAACCACAATTTGTTTTCATTATTATTAAATATAAGAGATTTCCCGTTTTGGAAATTCTAAGCCCACAATCTAAACACCTCTATATGGTCATATTGTACGAATATTTTCTTCAGAAAAGGCTGTTACATATTTTCATCAAAAGCGCTCAATTTTTGTTAAACTAACCTGCTCATTATTCAGAACAAATGGAGACCCAGAAAGCTGTATTTTTAATAATTTCAAGACAATAGTTGGTTATGATGGTTTTGTCAAAAAACTTGTTTTTGATTTTATTAATTGGTATAGACGAAAGGTAGGAGCTACGTATTTCTATTAAAACTAACACTTAGTTCTTATAGTGGACATAAAGTGGTTACACTAGCTTTAGAAAACAAATGTTTGGTGATTACAGAGGGTTTGTTTGTTTGGAATTAAGCACAAAGCTACACAATGGGCTATCTGTGCTCTGCCCACCACGGGTATCGAAACCCGGTTTTTAGCGTTTTAAGTCCGCAGACATACCGCTGTGCCACTAGGGAGAGGAAACAGATGGTTACAGTAATTTTGCTATAAACTAGTGTATTACTTTAATAATGAAATAGATACAGTACTAAAACTAACAGATAACTCTAGCGATGAGTACAGGGGTAAGATATACAGCTGATTGTAGCACTTTTAGTGTGCTTTGTAGCAAAACAACATTGGACTATCTGCTGTGTCTATTGCGGGGAATCGAACCCCAAATTTTAGCGTTATAAGTCCATAGATTACCATTGTCTCACCGGGAGACAGCAGTTTTAGTAACACTAACCCTTCGTTTTAATAGCGGTAGGCTTAGGGGGTGGATTAAAGTAGTTTTACTAAAACTAACATTTGGTTATTATAGTGAGTATAGTACAATTGGTTCAGATAACTAATTTGATTCCAGTGACGGTTAGAGAGGTAAGGGTTGAAAGGTGGTTAGAACAAATTTACAAAACTAACATAAGGTTCTAATGTTGGTTATAGATATAAGGGTAAGTAGCTGGTTACAATACATTTGCTTAACTAACATTTGATTCTAATAATGGTTATAGAGGTAAGGGTAAAGAAATGGTTACAACAGATTTAATAAACTAACATTTGGTTTTTGTGACCGTTCTAGCAGTAAGGGTTGTGAGTTTGTTACAACAGATTGAATAAACAAACATTTTGTTCTAATAATGGTAATAGAGGTAAGACAAAAAAAATCCTAAACTAATGTTTCTTTGACCATTTAACGATTTTAAAACTGAAGATTTTATTGGTATTTGTTTCCTTTTATAATTTTGATACAAATATATTTGAAACAAACACACATATATATAAAAGCTACCTTTTGGTTTCATGACGTATATATAGTGTTTTTACCTGAAAATTTGGTAAGTTTTTCGTCGCTTTTTTGGCTTTATCTAAATTATTCTTCTCTACCAGAAGGTAAGCAGAAGCAGTCTGTTCCAGCCTAGAGCGAAGTTCCTCTTATAAAAAAAAACAGCATGTTTCGTTAGTTTGGGCCAAAGATTACAAGATTGTGTAAGAGTCAAACACTGAGATTTCATAAATCAGACAAAGGTTTCTACGAATCTACAAATTGAAATATCTATATAATATTATTTTAGTATTGAAACGATCAGAATATAATGTGGTAAAAAAACATGAAAACATTAATGTTGTAAAATTTCTAAGCATCATCAAGGACTTGTTCAGTTTCGTGTTTACCAGGAATTTTAGAAAGGAGTTAATTCAGTAATTTCTTAATTAATCCATTAAATACATTTATGAGTTATCTATATCTATGGATTGAATTAGATTATATGTGTATATTATTGACAATTATATTTTAAATCCTCAAATTACCGACCTGTTCTTATTCCGTTCACTACTTGTCGGGTCAACATATTTCATCATATTGAGCGATTTTCTATTTTTGAACGAGATCACTCATATGTTATAGAACAGCTGGCCTAAGCAATAACTGGTGTTATTAACTGCTAAACTGGTGACATTTTTATTTAAATTTTATGGATGTGTGATTTCCATGTTATTAGAGACCATAAAATAAACAAATTCGTGGTGTTACAAGAGTTACAAGAAATAGTTTAGAAAAATGTGTTTAAAATGCCCTTGGGATTCACATACACTATCAAAAGTTCTAGAGTCAGCTGCAGCTTTTGCACTACGAGTAACCGTAATTGCCGGTGTGTATTTCTATAAATACTTTTGTTACAATAGTCAATCATTTTGCTTAAATTAACCATTCTATTAACTAACATGTGTCTTGCCAAGATGATTGGCTAATGAAATAAAACACTAAATAAAATGGAATTGACAGTCCTAACCCATATATTGCCAATAATTTAATTTAGATTCAACACGGAGAGGTTTTTAAAAGATGCTCAATACTTTCATATACCTGCTTTATCCATGGGTTTTCCCAAACTAATGACTGCTCCTGCATTCATTGCTCCTAATGCCGCTGCCGCATAATCGATGTTATTAGCGGTGCAAATGCAAAATACATCTCCTACTTTCAAACCACGTCGTATGAGCGCGCTAGCAAATCGTCTGCTGCTCAGAAGGACATCTTGGGCAGTATAAAAACGAGATTTGTCGTGTGAAACCTGCAAATAAGGAAATTCGAGATTATCAGTAAAACTAATTCTATAACTCCAAAATAAAAATATTCGATATGAGCCATCTGTTTTTTAAATGGCAGATGCTTTAGAAAATTTATAGAAAAAAAAACACACACACACACACACACATACAAGATTACCTCATTAACTCTTCACATTTCAAAAGAAAGATAAGATTGTAAATTAACGAAATTCGAATCCGTATTTTTTTTTGCTGAGCATGTTTGTTTAATCGGGTTAAATCAAGAAACCCCTTGTTCCGAAACACTTAGTAAAACACAGTTCTGTCATTTAGAAATTTTCTTGTTTCTATATATACATATACTTTTTGGGTGAGACGTACCTTAGCAGTGTTTGTTTGCTGTGATGTAAAAGTTATTGTATGTACTTTATTTTGTCAACGTTTTTTCTCATTAACAGACAAAATGTATAGGTATTTAGACAGTGTTTAATGAAGATAGATATTTCTCTGTTTCCGATACAAAGACAGCAGACTTAAAGCTACTCAACACTTTCACTACAGTGGGTCTTTGTGGTTTATTATCTACAAGCTGATGTACCCGTCCTTTGTCCGGGTTATGAACTTACAAAAATGTGGGGTGGATGATGTGATAAATAAAACAAAAATCATAGCTTTTACACAATTTATATATAACATAACATATTATTACATTATTCATTATTACCTCACCAAAGGTTTTGTATAAGCTTTAATAATTCAATATACTTAAAACATGGTATACACTGTGCGATGGTCAGGGTGACTTTGAAGGATGAGGTAGTGGCCAAAGTATTGGTGGTATGGGTGTTTTTTGTTATCCCCTTTCAACACCCAGCTCTTAATGCCCTTCCACTGTGTTTCATGCGATTAATTAATTGATGGTCGTTGGCTGCAGAAATGTTTTACGGGCCGAAGTTGAAGCGTCGCGGGTCAAAGAAGGAAGTGAGTATAACTCATATCAGCCTTATTGTGGCTGTTGAAGTAGAAACTTCAGTTAAGTTTATGCATTACTGCAATAGCAGTATGTGTGTATGTTGTGTTATAGAAAGATTAATAAAATTTGTCTGTGTAAGGACGTGGCACCATCTATGAATGTAGTTAACGTTAATTTAGGTCAAAGGTAACAAATACTCAATAACAGCAATAATGGGGGTACAGGAGATTGTGAACCTCTTATTAACACGCCCCTTGTTCGAAACTATCATCCCACACAGTTTGATTGAGATTGGTTCAGCGACCTAGGAATAGTTAGATAACGGACAAACAGACAGACAAAATGTGTACTACCTATCATTCTAAATGTTTTTAAAGTAGCTATTAGCACTCATTTAACAATACTTGTTTTATTTTATAGAGCAAAACTACATAATGTGCTATTTGTATTCCATTCGGCTCGGGGAATCTAACCCAGTATTTAAGCATGCGGAAAGTTCCCGCTGACTCACCGGGGATATAAGGATACGGAAAATTAAGATCCACATCTTACTAAAAATTTAATTCAAATCTGACTTCTGGAAAAGAAAGAGATAAAGAACCTACCATGTTGTTCTAGTTTTTTGCCTTTTTAGGAATTCAAACCAACACGTTAATATATATATATACACACACACATATGTATATATATCACCTAAGTGGATTTAAGTAGATTTTTATTTAACTTAATACTGAATCGTATCTAAGTGTAGAAGAATAATTATTTTCAAACTACTTTCACCAATATTCTTCCGTTTAGACCAAAGGTGGGCAATAATTTTCGCAGGCTGGCCACTCCACGAATTTTCGTAAGTCGACATGGGCCGCACATTTCTACTATATCAGTTAAATTACCCTATTATGTTATTTCCACAATTATCGGGAGTCATGTCGGGCAGGACAGAAATGTTAAACGGACCGGATCTATCCCGCGGGCCGTATTTTGCGCACCCCTGGATTAAATTGAACAAAAGACAAAATCATGAAATATGTAATATCGTATCCTTTTCCCCATATTAGAGATTGTGTTATATTAACACCAGAAATCTTTTTTTTTTTGGAAAATATTCTCATCCAACAACGCATCTAAAAAATAACAGGTCTATGATAGTTGTTAAATTAACGTGTAAGTTGAAGTTAATGTTTATTTTCCTGGAATAAAAATGAATTAACTGGATACATTAAACGCGGTGATGTCAAGACAGAAATGTATTTTATGGGATTTAACTATGATTTCTTTTAAAATTTAACAGAATGTATCCAAGCTTATACATTTGTACACTTATTTCTGTAAAAGTTCACAACAGTATATGACTTTTTTTTTATATCGTGACCACTAATTTTCACAAATATTCTAACAGTCTGGATGAATTGTATGAAATATTAAAAGCTTACCATTAATAGTTTATCACCGTATTTTTCCAGTGTCAACGTGAGAAATTCTGTCAAAGAGATGTTGGGTATATCAACTGAAGACCGAGGAGAAGTAAGAATCTTTTCGTCTGATATTAACGAATTATTACTCATCTTATACATATTTTGTTAGAGCGGGTTGCTTATATATAAAACAACACTTAAGTCTTCGTATTTTCGGGGAATGGCCGCCAAACGTTCGTTACAAATTACTCTTCGAAGAAATGTGGAGATCGTCTTCTGCACTAGATTTTATTGGGAAACAAAAATATTCCCATAAACTGTTGGATACTTATCGAGCAGACCACGTGAGATCTCAAGACTATAAAGTAGGGTTGTCTGTTGCTGACAACATGTGTCATCACAAACTAATTAACTGCTTATATTTTATCTGACTTTTTCATCCACAGGCCAAAGCAAGAGAAGTCCATCGTATATTTTTACTTGGTTATCGGATATACAGATATGTTTGACAGAATATGAAGCAAACTGGCTATACAGTTCAAGCAGCCGTGGGCATTGTTGTTATTTCTTTGCTTTATAATTGAATATGCTTCTCTTTTGCTTACTTCGGATATTTACGCAAAGATAAACAAAAGGTTTGTGCTCTGACGTATATAAATTTGTACTGATAACCAAGAGAGAGAAGATAGCTGGTTATTCAACACACCCACTAACAGCTTTTCGCTTATTATCATTGTATTATCAATAGTGGGATTTCATCGTCACTTTTGTAAACCCTCAACGGCCCAAAATGCGTAGGCTTTTTTGCGTCAACGGAATGCGACCATGGAGACTAATTCTAGGCTACCACGCCCTGGCAATCATACTTACAACCCAATGATGTTCTAAGTGTTTTTTATAAACGTTTGTTTCAAATCAAAGCACTATCTGCGCGTTTGCATTTGAAAGCAACAAGACCTTGAAAACTTTGTCCTAATGTTAGTAACATCTAGAGAAGTTAAATATATTTCATGATCAAAGTCAACAGGAAAACTGCTCATAGAAATACATATATATATATATAATGAAATAAGCAGCTTCAATACTATTAATTACAGAAAATCAGCACTGTAAATCAATATTGAACTTAATATGAAATAAGCATTAAGAAGATTTTAGTAAAGAATACATTGTCAGTCCTAGTTGTCACCTTAAACTCGTAGCGAAAGATTGACAGCAACTGACAGAAAATTATCCGGATTTGAAGAACATAAAAGTTAGAAATTTCTTGTCATTGTGATATAATGATTTTAAAAACAAACAGTTTGAAACTTAGTTACTTTTATTTATATTTTTTGAAATGTTTGAGTGTTATACTTTGAGCAATCAATGTGCGAGGTTGTTTAAAGACAGTTACATATAAAGGAAAAGTTCATAGTATATTGAACCTATATGTAATAAGATAAAGTTTTTCTCAAGTTTACACTTGTAGAGAGGTTGAACGTTCATCACCCAAGTTTGATAAACACAGGTCAAAAACCACGGAAAGCTGAAATAATACAGTAAGTTTAACTAACCTTGAATCAAAGGTTGAAGATCAATGTTGATTGAAAATCTAGTAAACAGGATGGTGGTATAGTTACATAATTGACTCTGCACTCGACTCGACTGTCCTGAGATTTGGAACTTTATTTTATATGCGATTAGACCTAAAATGTTTAGAATGAACATCCTACAAGTTAACTTGAAAAGCCATATATACTAACTAAACAAATCGTTTCGAGGTCTATTTCTCTGGAACCTCCCCTAATTTTTGCTCGTTATATATTGACCAAAAAACATTTGAAAAAATATTTTTGGCTGTTGTGTCATACATTCATAATTGTCTTTGTATTTAGATGTCCTAATCGTTTGTCTTTCTCTCACGTCAGATCAGTGACTATGTTGTATTTATTGCCAGTTTGTTTAAGCATGTCTCATTAGAATTGTTCGTAACCATTAAACAATTGTAATCGTACTGTACAAAAAAACAAAAAACAAACAAGTAGTTCATTTAACTAAATCATCACATCTATATTCTGTTTGAGATATTTTTCTTGTTTAATATAGACGTTCGAAAAATTCTGCTTTACACGTTAATCTTTAAAGAGGATAATCTCTAAATCTCAAGCTATTAACGTATCCAAACAAGATACTTATAATTATTTGGCTGAACAGGTCATACAGGATTTCTCATATCAGTTTAGTTGGTTTGATAATACTTGCTGATATGTCGTCTCATTATGTCTCCACAGTGGGACGAACTGTTTTTCTATTTTTCTTCTTCTTCTTCCAAACGCTTTTCAATTGACCATCATTCCTTCTTTTCTGAGCAAATTGACTTGAAACTTTGTTAGGTAAATTGGCACAAATATACATTTTCATGCGCCTAACACATAGACGTATTAAAATGTCAGATTTTTCCCATTTTGAAATGTGAATGATAGTGTGATTAATTCCAACAATTTAATGTATAATATCCTACTCACGAAATAAAATTTGACATCAACATCTGTGTCAAATTTGGTCTAAATATAAGTCACGTGTGGAAAGGTATTGAAGAAAAACTGCTCAATTTTTACCAAAATTTCACGTATAAAGTCACGTTAGCTATTGGTCTAGAATTTTAACTACAGCTTTACCCAAAAGAAAAATTGGACAATGTCTGTTTTTTTGTAATTCGGATTAAAGATGACTGATTTAGAGCAGCAAAAGTATAAGGTGAAAAGACTTGCAGATTAGGCCAAGCAAACTAGATTATCAGTTTATAGGAGAAGTTTTCAAAATAATCATATGGGTGGAGGGTTATTATTTATTATTCATTGCCAACTTTACATCATAAAATTGCTAAATTTTATGAAACTCTCCTAATTAAAGAGCATATAGCATCACACAATATTAGCTTAAACAATTAGTGAAAATAATTATGTTTGATATGGTTATTCCGAGTGCTTGTGGGTGATGACAAAAACTGTTAATCTAGATTCACGGAGTCATTATAAAGGAAGTTATTAACACTGTTTTAGAGAGGAAACTACCAACATATATTTTAAAGACTCTGGTTGGCTCTGTAAAGCATAAATCTGTTCTGAATAATAAGATTGTGATCCTAAAGCTAATGTTGGGTACTATAGTGTGTCACTTTCTTACTTACTGTGGTTTGTTGTTAAGTGTTGACAAAAAAAGGTGTGGCCAAAAAAAGACTGAGCATATGACTTAAAGGAATGAAATCAAAATTGGTGCCCCAACTGGTAGCTATTTCGTTTTATCCACCATTATGCCTAAAGTTGAACAAAAAGCGTGGCTTAGCTAATTAATGAATGAATACTTGCTGTAAAAGTTTAATGAATGCTGTAAGTGTAGCTACCAGTTTTGCTGGCAATTTTGATTTTTATTTCTTTAAGTCCCACACACAATCCTTTTTGACCACACTTTTTTTTCACACTTAAGGTGTTTTTGATTATATATATATACGTACACACATATAATGCATAATATAATGCTGTATGAATGATTTGATTTTGCCAGAATTAAAAATAATAAATGAGTGACTTACTATTTATCTATCCATTTTCTATTGAACGTTCTCTTGAAGATTAAAATTTCATAAAACTTTAAGAGCACCTAACGTTAAAACACTTTTTAGGAGGTGGTTACGTGGTCACACATACAGTGTGGGGTAATGAGATATTTCAACTTAGCAGTCAGTGAAAAATTTTGACCTTTGTTTATTAGTCATATTGATAAAAAACATATTATGTGTTCGTTTCTACATCTTTCAAAACTTTATGTACATTTAAACTTATAGTTTTCTAAATACACAAATGAATATAACCGACTTTTAACTATAATTCTTTGATTATTTCACTTTATAGAAATACCATAAGTTACAAAATAGTATTCTGTGATTATTTTATATAAACTCACGTTTCATCATAGTCGAATACACTATTATGTAAGTAAAATAAATAAGTATCATATATACTTAACAAAAACTACAGGTACCATAAGCATCACAGTTTATAAATTATTGGATTAACTTTCATACAAATTTCACATACTATGTAGTTTTATGGTCATAGGTTATTTGCATTGATTGTGTTTTATAATTCTTTGAATAATGAATTATATTTAATGTATAAATAAGTCTTAATTATTGTATGATATTACCTTTTTTAGGGTTTATTTTTTGTTTTTAATTATTCACAAAGCTACACAAGGACTATCTTTTTTTCTATCCACCACGGTATCGAAACCCGATTTCTAGCGTTGTAAGTCCGCAGATATACCGCTGTGCCACTGGGGGAGCCCTTTTTTAGGGCAAATGAAACATATAGTTATGTATTCTATGTGTCAGATTGAGTAGGATATAGTCCTGTTAGGACGGGAAATGTAATAATTTAATACTGAAAATCTTTAATCACTTGATTGAATAAGTTTTAATTATCGTATTGTCCTTGTAGGGCTAATTAATGATGAAGAAATGTAATGTATATTTTAGGAAGAATTAATTATAAATGAATTAGTGTTAAGCGTCCTTTTTCAGGACTTAATTTAACTATAAATGATTTAATGAATTAATTATGCATTATTTAATTAATTAGTGTTAAACGTCCTTTTAGGACGATTTAATTAATTAGTGATTAATTACAGACATGATGTAACGGGCATTGTATGAGTCATGACTGCCTAGGAACATGTTCTGTACTTTGTGGTACTTCATGGCGGCCTAGCAACACGTCTCTAACGACGCACAATCTGGTGGCAACGTTTTTGACTATGACCTCATGATCTTTGATGACATCACCCCTTTCCCCTCCACTGATGCAGCCAATCAGTGTGAGGGAGCATCCTTTGGACGCGATGTAATACTCAGATGCACATTACACAATCATTATGTAATAGTCAGGTGTATATTAAGTAATAATTGTGTAATAGTCAGGTGTATATTAAGTAATAATTGTGTAATAGTCAGGTGTATATTAAGTAATAATTGTGTAATAGTCAGGTGTATATTAAGTAATACTTGTGTAATAGTCAGGTGTATATTAAGTAATAATTGTGTAACAGTCAGGTTTGTATTAAGTAATAATTTTGTAACAGTCAGGTTTATATTAAGTAATAATTGTGTAACAGTCAGGTTTATATAACGTAATGGTTACGAAACACTCAGGCGGCATCCTTTGATCTCTTGTCACCTGGCGAACCCCCACTAAGGCGGCATCCTTTGGATGCGATAGTGCCTCCATTACTACTTCCATT